GACAGAGCAGGAGCAGTGCTGACCCCTCTGTCCCACAGGGAATTGTTGGAACAGGTGGGAAATGGCACCTCATCCCTCTCAAATCATGGGGAATTGGCTCAGTGCTAAAAGGTGCCATTACTGCAAAGTGTCTTGGAGAGTGTATTAAAGAAGAGAGTGACAGAAAGCTAGTCATGGGTGACAGGAAGGATGGGGGAGTCAAGGAGATTGGAAGGAAAAGAGAGGCAATGCCAGCTGTCTCTGCTCCTGCTCTGCTCTCTGTTTGACACTCAGATGCATTAACACAGAGTGAAAGGCAAAGGGAATCCTTGCATCTCCATTCCTGTGTCATGCTTAGATCAAAGTGCAGATTGTGCCAGCTGAAATCCATTTGCCAGCCCCTCTGAAGGTAGGGTGGAGGATGGATGCAGGTTTCTGAGCTCCAGAGAACAGCTAGGTTTCCAAGCCTTTGGTTCCAGCAGCAGAATGCTTTTATTTCCAGCCTGGCTATCAGGCTCAAAGAGAGGAGGCTACAGAAAAACATTTCCCCTACCTTTTCCTGTCATTGTAGTTGGATACTGAGTTTTGTGCCCAAATTGAGCATCTCTTCAAAGATTATTTTCATTAGTGGGGTTGTCATCTTTGACTTCTCTACTTGGTGAAGTGTTAGACTGAAAATATATGGAGTTATCTGGGATTTTCCAGCAACAGCACAGGAAATTTTCTGTGCTGTGTATGGGTAGGTTGTTTCCCATGTCAAGATTTGTTTGTGATGTATGCCATTTACTGTTCACAGTCCAGACTAAATTAATCCTAGAAGGCAATTTGGGTGTCCCAATCCATATGGACTGTTCTAAAAGAGTTAAGTATGAAAACAGACAGTTATGAGAGAAAATGGTGCGAGAAGGTGGTGATGAATCATCTGAAGCTAAGAAGTTGGTCAGAACTGAGCTGAACCCAGGGGTCAGTGAAACACCCAGACTGACTCTGGACAGGTTCAGGGATGTCTTAAACCCCCCATTCTGCCAGAACATGGGCTGGCATATCTCAGCCTATGGGAGCTGAGATACAGCCCAGGCTGCCTGCAAATCCTACCTGTCCTTTGGCAAGCAGCAACCAGAAAAAACCTAGATGTAGAAAAAGACTGAATCTTTGTTTCTTCTCTTTATTTTTCCCTCACTGATCTAAGCTGGCTGTTTTGTGTCTCAATGGTGGAAGCAGCTGTTGTTGGAGACTGGAGCAAACTGATGCTTCTATATTTGTGATCAACATTTAAGTTAAACATGTGACACATTCTGAGAAAAGGTACTGCTGGAAAAGGGGCTGGGATGTCATCATTTCCCATAAAGATTGCCCCATCCTCAACTTTATGGCCAGGGAATGCCACGCTTGTGTCAGGTGCTGTGAGCTGTAGGGATGGACATGCTTGAACCTTAACAGACCAGTGTCAAATCCTTTCTATTTATATTTCTATTTATATATGGCCTTTCTCTGAGCAGGGGCTGGGACCAGAAACCCCCAGAGGTCTGCAAAGCCTTCCAGCAATTACTGCACAAACAGCATTCCATTTCTATTGAACATTGCACAGTGATCTCATGGTGTGTGCTTTTCCCTTTGGTTTTCATCTCAGAAATATTTGCTGTCTAGAGCAGGGCAGAGAAATCTGAAAATTCTGTGGAAGCAGGACTGCAGCCAAGCAGAGGTGGCTGTTCTCCTGGAATGATCTTTCCTATTTGAATTTCAGTTTGGATCACTTGTAAAATACCAGGTTGCTCCCTTGGAATTTGCTTGGGGTTCTCCTGGAATGGTCTTTCCTATTTGAATTTCAGTTTGGATCACTTGTAAAATACCAAGTTGCTCCTTTGCAATTTGCTTGGGGGCTAGGGGGACACTCTGCATTGTGTGCTCTGCCTGCAGCCCCACCAGACCATCCCAAATATTATTCAGATCCACTCCCATAAATCAGAAATTGTGGTGCTTGCAGCAAGGTCTCATATCTTAGGATGCTTTGCTTTGGTGACTGGAGCCTGGATACTCCCTTGGTTTGAAAATAGGGCAGGAGTTTCTAGGGGAAGGAGGAGAGGGAGTTGTTTCTCACACAGCCCAGGACTGATGAGTGGCACAAAGTGTTGCCAGTTTTTGCTCAAAGCAGATAATTATTGAGTTGCCTGAGGCCTGGAGCACAGGATGCCCCTGAACAGCATCCCAGTGGCAAGGCTGGAGTGTTTTACTCCTGTTTGGTGCTTTTTTGTGAAGGAGAGGAGGAGGGAGCTGGGTTTATGCACTTTGAGCAGTATCAGAGTGGGCTCAAACATGTGTGTTCGTTCATGCTGGCAAAGCCTTGCCTTCAGCAGAGAGAAATCTTTCAGTCCTGTGAGTTTAGCAAGCTGCTTGAGAGCAAGGAACAGCCGTGATTGCACAACCCTGTCAACATTTCTGTGGCTGGCCAGGAAAACCAGCTTGCAGCAGCAAGGGGGCTGGACCCAACAAGGCTTTGATTTCATTGCAGTTTAAGATTCAGCCAGAAAACATTATGTCCCTGCTATAAAGGAGGAGATATTCACCTTCAGGAGATTTTAGAAGCAAGGAATTGGAAAATGAAATTAATGAATAGAAAGCAATAACACAAGCCAATATTCACAGAAATGTTATTTACCACTCTTGGATTAGAGCTCATTTTACACAAATATTGGCTGTTAGAACAGCTGATGTGTCATTGGTATTTTGTACCAGAGGGCCTTGGAAAAAGGCTTTAGGAGACATTTTCTGGGATTTTATTCATTCTCTGTGTGGTCATGTTTCTGCCTAAAATTCAATCATGTGGTGTACAGAATGAAATCCTGGGCATGTCTGGGGAGGGCTGCTCATGGGCAGCTAAAGAAGTGAGGCTCCTTCTGGAGTGTGATGAGTTCCCCTGTCAAGGATGTACAACTCACATTACAGCATCAAAAGGGAGCTGGGATTGATTTTTTTTTTTAGTATACAAGCTGAGACTTCTTAAGTAGGCTTATGTAGTGAGGTCCTCGAGCAACCAGCCACTAATGTCTATCTCATAAAGGCAGAGATGATAATTCCAGTGAGGCTTTTAGAATCAGAAATCCAAAATTCTAGAGCTTTTCAGTAAAGCAACACCTGCTTTTTTCAAGATAGTATTTAAAATGCAAAAACAGCTCCAGCAAATCCCTCCACCTCAGCAAAAATCAACAAAGTAAATTGCATTTCACATACATAACAAAATGTTTTACCTGGTAAAATCCAAACATATTTTCTTCTCACAGTGTGATTCATGTCCTGACCAATAAGAGTTGTCTGAGGGTAATCTTGGAAGGCTGCAAAATTATGACCTCACACTGCAATTACCAGTCAATTTAGGCACACTTAAACATTTATATTAAAATTTTACGTTAATTTTGTTATATTAAATTTTCAAGCCAACTCAATGGCACCACAATTGTTTTCTTTGCCTCCTGTTCTAATGCAGCAGTGGCCACAGGGAAAATGGGGAAAAACAGTAAAGAAGTAAAAAAAAGTGCAGACAGCAGTGGTGGAGAGCCATGTGTAAGGTTCTATGGTAAGGGGTGTTGCAAGACAGATATGTTTAGTACAGCACTAAAGGGGAGGCATGAAAAAACACAATTATAGTGATCTTAGTTGGCAGGCCACTGACTGGAAAGGCTCTTGTCAGCAAAAATAGCAATAAACACATTAATGGCAGTCCATTGTCTGCTGCCATCTTGGGACAGGGCTGTGCTCAGAGGGCCTGTTACTGTGGTTGCAGAGGATGTATTTAAATATTAGAGTCACAGCCAAGAAGAGATGAAGATAGGAAAATGGGTTTAGTCTATTGTGCTGAGGGTGGAGCAGAGCCCACAGACACACAATGCCATCCTGGAACAGAATTTGTTTAAGCTGCTAATTTTCTAAACTTTTACTGGCAGAGGGGAAGAGCCCTGTGTGCAGAAGTCAAGCCTATTGGCAAAAGACTTGCTTTTCTAAGATACACAGCTTGTTGTTGGGGGTGAGGCATTTGCCCTGACTGAATTTGAATTTTGGGTCCAGTTAGGAAGCCTGACTGATGTGCATGTTTCTCCCAATTAGCTCATACAGTTCATGTGACTTGTTTCATTCATATGGCCTCTTGTTATGTATCCATCATCCATTTTTCTTTCCTATTAGAGTGAAATTGGACACAGCCCTCCTCCTGCCTACACCCCTATGTCAGGAGTAAGTATTTCACATTCAGCCTTCATCCTTCAGGCTTTCCTTCTTTCTTCACTGTTTTTTTTTCTTTTTCAAACCCCTTTTTCCTGCATAAATGACTCAAAATCAGGTAATGAAGTGTTTATAGAAGGAATCAAATAGTTAAGATCTGTGGATTCATGTGCAAACTCTAGGGAGCCACATCCAAAACTCTGACAACTTTTATGAAAAAGCATTTAGGTTTTTCATAAAGGCTTGGATGGATCTGTACATCTTTTCTTCCTGTCTGTAGGTCATGATGTTGAAAGTTCCTTGCAAGTCTGTGCTGACAAGCAAAATGATAGGTTGAGTTAAACCATTGAGTTGAGGTGCCAATACAAACACAGTTCACCAGCCTGAAATGCACTTCCTGGTGGAATTACACATGGTGTGGGTGACCCCATGATTCCCACCACAGGACACACTCAAAATATCACCCCAGGATAAACAGAGAGGATAGTGGTTTCCTCCAAGTCAGGAGGAGATTTCCCAAACATGAGGTTTAAAGGGCTTTGATCAGAAGTCAGGGGTGGTTGCCAGAGTAATAGAAGAGGAAACACCACCTTCACCTGCTGCAGCTGTGTGTGTGCAGCCTCCATGTGCCAAGTAAGAGACAAGTTTTCCTGCCCCATTTCTATCCCCTGAGCACTGCTGGGCAGATGGATGCTTTGTGGAAGCCTGGAAGCTCAGGATGGGCAGGGCAGGCACAGAAGGCTCAGCCATGACTTGCTGTTGAAGCTTCTCCCCTCAGGATCCTCTTTTCCCATGCTTTGTTCCGACAGAACCAGTTTGTGTACCGGGATGGCGGCTACACTGCCGACGTGCCAATGCCGTACAGGGCTCCGGGCTGCATCATTCCAGAAGCCCCAGCTGCTCAAGGAGCCACAGCAGAGATCTTTGAAGACTCTTGCTGCAATGGCACGATGCAGAAGCAGGTGGCAACCCTGGCAAAGGAGGACAGCAGCACCCAGAGGTACAGCGCTGACCCCACTGTCTTCATTCCCGAGCGCGTCGTGCGGGGAGAGCTGGATGAGGACGGGTACATGACACCGATGAGAGACAAACCTAAAACAGGTAAAGTGTTGCCTTTCCAGAGAGCCTCCTGGTCTAGCCTGGCTCAGTTTCTTCTCTTTGTACATCAGCAGCTTTTCATCAAAAATGGCTTTATTTAGTTACCTATCATGTTGAAGCGTTCTGACTAGGATAATATTCCTTTACACGGGGATTTGGTTTTCTCTCCTTAATTTTCTACTTCGAAATGCTCAAATGTGCCAGTATGTCAAAGCTGGTAAGTCCCCCTTTTACTTTTTTTTAAGGAAATAACAAGAGGAATGAAAAAAAGCCAAGCCCCCTTCTTAGCCAAACACAAATCTTCAGTTATTTCCAAGGAAAGGATCTATCTTCAGCCAGCCATAGTCCCAACTTTGCTTTGTTTATTGATCTTCTTATTCTTGGCATTGTGCTTGGTAAATGTCATGTTGAACCTATCACAGAACTCATACACACAGCTGGCATTTTATACCCAAGAGAAGTCTAGGATTGAAAGAACAAGATGTGCTTTAAAGAGAGCATCACTGCAAGGGGAAGATTGCCTAAATCTGTGCCTGCTCAGTGTGCTGCACTTCCCAGTTTGCCCTCATTCATTTCTTCCTCTCTAAATAATGATAGCAGTCATTTAGATGTAAGGGGGTGTGTCATTATTAATGTGCTTCCAAAGCTTTGCATTAGCTTTAAAGAAATTAATAAATGCAAATGTAAATGACAAGTCACTAGTGTGTTGGCTAAGAATTTGGAAGCCATTTGTCCTTTGTGTTCCATGAGGCAGGAATGGAGGAACCCTGGGGCTTGACCCATGGCAGTTGTGGGAGTCTCCCTTGCAGTGATTTACTCTCAGTGTGAGCCCACATTTGTGTACCCATACAGGTGCACCCTGGGGATCCTCAGAGTTCTGCAGGAGCCACCTGAGCCCTCAGGGATGTGGCAGTAGCAGCTCCTTCCTGACCCCCTGGGCACAGACACAGGGTGGTCATGGTGTGGCCACACACTGTGTGTTCCATGCCAGCTGCAGGGTTCAAACCAAAGCCCTGCTTGGCTGTCATCACTAAAAAACAAATGTTCCCACTATTCAGCTCATATTCAGTGACAGTTATGGGTTGAGAGGTGCTCACTGGGTCTTGAACTTTTGCCTTTAATAGTTTTGGCCCCATTCTGGATGAAGCCAGCTGACCCCTTGCACCAGGACACTCTATGGAGGCATGTGCAGAGCCCTTGAGCAACCATGCTGCTGGAATTGGGGTGTTAATACACAGCAAGTGATTTGAAGAAACTGCAGCCTGCTCCAAGTCCCATTTTGCAGCTGATCTAAGGCTCTCTTGTTCCCTTTCCAGGGCTCATTTGTACAACCTTTTTTTCATAATGCTTCAAGGCCCTTTGTCCTTCAGGGATGGAAGGTTTTTAATCAGGCAAATTGTTCTGTTAGAAATGAAGCTGTCTTAAAAGTTAGCCCTTGGGGATAGGCTTTGTGCAGAGAGCCTAACTAAGATTCCTGTAGAGTTTTCTGGATGGAAGGACTGCAGAGCAGAGGGTTTGCTAATAGGTCCAAGGTTGCAGAGGCAGATGTTGTTCAGGTCTTTAGATCATACACTGAGAGGAAGTCCAGGGGAGCACACGGGCTGTGGCTCAGCAAGAGCTGTAACTTAGCTGGCCAGGGTGTTTGATAAAAATATTGAAATATTGAAATATTTCTAAGTGAAAGGATGTCTTGGAGTTGGTTGCAGATTGGGTTGAGAGGAAGGGAAGGGAAAGGGAAAGAGAAAGGGAAAGGTGTACAACCTGGCCTTTCCCACTTTTTGCAGACATGGGGGTTGGATGCCCAGAGAAGCCAGGTGGTACCAGCAAAGGCCAGTGGCAGTTCTGCTGTCAGTCTTCCAAGGTGTCTGTTTTAACCCACATTGTGTGGAAAACTTCATTTTTCACAAGTGTGTGTTCAGTGTAGCTGGCTCCTGATCCCATCTGGAGTTCTGGGAATGGCTGAGGTAGAGGAGGGTGCTTTAGTCCAAGTGCTGCTACACGGTTGGATTACTGTTGGAATGTTGGGGGACACAAGACAGATGATGGACTTTGGACCTGGTTAACATAAGAGATTTGATAACAGGATGCCTTGGCAAAAGCAAACAGAACTTTGAAAATCAGACCTAGATTGCAAGAAGATTAAATCAAACAGGTTTACCGGAAAAAGAAAATCCCATTAAACTCTGCTAGCAAGAGATATTGTTATATGCATAAGTTTGTGTGTGTGAATTTTAACCTAATCATTGTAGTACACATTCCTAGTCTCTCTAAAATAGTATATAAGTGCTTGTATCCCACAATAAAATGGGATTCTGATCACCGAGTCAGTCTCCCCTTCTCTCTGCAACGCCAACAGATTACTACCACTCTAGGCTGACTTATTTTTAATATTTCCTCAGATTACCTGAACCCAGTGGAAGAGAACCCATTTGTTTCCCGCCGGAAGAACGGAGATCTCCAAGCTGTGGACAACCCAGAGTACCACAGTGCTCCCAACGGGCAGCCCAAAGCAGAGGACGAGTACGTGAACGAGCCCTTGTACCTCAACACCTTCGCCAACACCTTGGAAAACGCCGAGTACCTGAAGAACAATTTGCCAGAGAAAGCCAAGAAGGCCTTTGACAACCCAGACTACTGGAACCACAGCCTGCCCCCACGGAGCACCCTCCAGCACCCGGACTACCTGCAAGAGTACAGCACAAAATACTTTTACAAACAGAACGGACGGATCCGGCCCATAGTGGCAGAGAATCCCGAATACCTCTCTGAGTTCTCCCTGAAGCCTGGCACTGTGCTGCCCCCGCCGCCCTACAGACACCGGAACACCGTGGTGTAGTGGCTGTGCTCTCACTCAAGTGGAAAGGCAACCCCTTCTAGCTGCCTCACTCTCGCTCCCCCTTTCTCCCTGCCCTTGCCCCTCCTTCCTCCCTCCCTCCCTCTCTTTCTCCCATGAGCTTCCTCTTCTTGCCAGTTCACTCATTTTTGATATTTCTAAGTGAAAGGATGTCTTGGAGTTGGTTGCAGATTGGGTTGGGAGCCTGGAAGGAAGGAAGGAAAGAGACTGAAAGAAGGAGTGTACAACCTGGCCTTTCCCACTGTCGGCGGACGCGGGGGTTGGATGCCCAGAGAAGCCAGGTGGTACCAGCAAAGGCCAGTGGCAGTGCTGCTGTCGAGCTTGTTCTCAGTGACTCAACTGTAGGGAAAGCCACAGAAAGGCTGATTCTTCCAGCAGGAACTGATGAGAGTCTGTACAGCGTTCCTGGAAATCTCCATGCAATTTCCATCAGGGTGAAAAATGGACAATTTTTATATCCTGTGTGATAGCGTAGTAATTGAGATTGAGAATCCAATTTCTTTCTCTAACACTTTCTATCCCAGCAACTGAAAATGGCTAACATAGCTTTTCAAAAACATTCAGATCTTCATTGTGGCTTTCCAAGAAATGATGATGTGACTCCCACAAACAGCTAAGCCCCTCTTCTGAGCCACACCGTGATTTTGTGCCAATTCCCAGCCACAGAGACTCCTGCTCAGAACTGCTACCTGCCATGACCATTTTTGTATGTGTGCCAACACAACAATCACTCTAAACACAAAATACCTTTCAGAAGAGAGTAACAAAACCACACCTCCAATATGTTCATTTGAAGCTAAAAACCAGGCCAAGAAATGAAGATTTGTATGCCAAAAGCTTTGCTTTCCTGTTTTATACCTGCTGACTGTAAACACTTCAAAAGATTGTCACTAATTCTTCCCTCTTTTTCTTCATGGTCATGAAGGGAGCTGGGGATGCTGTCAGGCAACACTGAGGACAACACAGAGAACTGAAAAGTTTGATTTTCTGTGGGGTGGGGTGGGAAGGGTCCTTTAAACTGGAAGACAGACACTGGACTGGAGAAAACGCACATAGCGGTTCACTGGAAAGTTAGTTTGCACTTAACCTCTGATTTTATTTGAACTGTTTTCTGGATTTTGAATGAAGCAATATGGAAGTGACCAGCAAAATACAAAATAATAATTTTAAATTAAAAAAGAAATATAAATTATTTGTAAAGGATGACTGTGGAAATGCCAAAATGAAGCAAATCAAGTCTTTGGAACAATGTCTGCCACTCCTGAGAGGCCGATGCAGTGACTGCTTCAGAGAATTCAGTGAGAGAACAGCCAGCTCTTCCTGCTGCTCTATGAAGGACAGCAGAGCAAGCCCTGGAAAGGATCAGGGGAGGCAAATGTCCTGCTCTGGCTTGCAGCACAGTACAGAATACCATTTTTCTAAACGGAAGATTACTCTGGCACAGAAGACAGTGCATATGAGGTTTGAGAAGTCAAAATGTGCATGATTTGCAGAGCTTTCTGTCAAAAATGTAAATAAGTATGAGTCAGTCTCCTTGCACTTAGTTCTGCTTTTATCAACCTCAGTTTTTAGGTAGACACCCCCTGACCTGCTCCTCTTTGGAAATGTCTTTCAAACCAGAGTTGTGGACGTTTTTAGTGATCTGGGGCAGATGGAGCTGGGAAAGGAGGCACCAAGGCTTGGTCCTGACACACCAACACTGTGTGTGTAAGAGCATTTGTGAGCCTACTTCCCACCAAACATCTTAAGGAAGCTTTGGAGATCTGCCTGTCTCTATCCATCAAGGCTTTTAAAGGGAAGAAACAATACCTGGTGGCTGGCAACCGTGGGTGATGCAACAGTATTTCAGTTCATGTGCTTCAGCTCTGTTAGGGCCGAGATCTTTGGGGTGACCTGACCTGGCAACAAAACCAGCAACAACCAGAGGTCTGGAAATGGCATCACCCTCCTCTAAAGTCCTGCCATTCCAACATCTTGCCACCTTTAATCTTAGGGAAGCAGAGGAAGGGAGTAAGAAACAAGCAATGGTTACCTGAAGCTTAGTAGGTCAGCTTGACAAAGGTGTGAAGAGGTGTTCAACCTGGCTTGGTTGTTCCCCTTGTAGATGGAAAACAAACTGTGATCACAAGGCTGGTTCAGCTGTTGGTGCACCAGGTGTGTCCAGGTGTGCATCAAGTACAAAGCTGAAGGTTCTGAAAGCAGCAACAACAGGTACAGATCTTTGAGCTGGTAAAGGAGATCTTGGGTCAAGTGGTACCAAGGTGATTTGTGGTGATATGACCACTGTCATGGATAGAGGGATACAATCTGCACTGAGGGACCTCTTCTGGTGCCTCTGGTAGCTCCTCAGGGGACAGGGGCACACACTGGGCAGGGGCTGGGGCACAGGGGGTGGCACGAGGTGCTGGGGGGCTGCTCCAGGCAAGGTTTGCCCACAGCAGTGCCCACAGGGTGTCTCTGCCAGGCTGGGACAGAGAGAGGCACAGGAATGTGGGTGTCCCGTTTCAGCAGGACCATAGGTAGGTGGAGAAAAGTTGATTTTTCCCCGAACAGGTCTTGTAACAGAGTAAGTCCTGATGGAGAAAAACGATAAAATAAAAAGCTGGCTCAGCTCACATGTTTGAATTGAGAGCTGAACTCAGAGGCTGCTGGGACAGAGGCAGGCACACCTCCAGAGCCAGGCACTGGGATGGAGCTGCTCACACAAGGTGAGGCCTGTTTGTTCCTCTGGTAATGAAGTAGTGCTCGTGTTAGAAACAAGCCCATGGAGTAATCCAAGTGTAAATACTGGTGGGGTTTAACAATTTAACGTTTTATTTCTTACAAGGCTTGAATTATTTATTAATTTTATTTGTTGACTGTGGGTGTGCTATAATATATTAAGTAGCATGGAAATGCAGAGGTTCCTGCAGGTGGGGCAGCAGGAAAGCTGGAAGAGGAACTTGGGCTCTGCCTGGCAGCCCGGATGAGCCATGCAGAGCCATGCTAGTGGGGTCTGGGATAGCAGAGGACAGGCAGAGGCTTAATGAACTCAGTGATTCGGGAGGAGGGAGAGCTCCACACACTGCAGCTTCTCAATTTTTATTTTTTTATTATTTTCTGAGCTTCTGGTTTGAGTTGCAGTTGCCAAAACTGGCCCTTGAGTTCCATGCTGTGCCAGTCACCACTTGCCCAACAGATGGGCCTGTGTGGTGCTGAGGCTGCTGGTGAACCAACCCAGAGAGCAGCAAATATCTGACCCCTGCCCCTTTCCTCTTCTAGAGAAGTTCTGAGCTTGGCTGGCAGGTTTTGCCTCTTTGCAACAGATGGTTTAATCATGGCTAAAGAAAAAAGAAAGGGAAACTGAGAGCAGAACTGTTTGGCTGCTTTAATTCCAGCAGAAACTCCTGGCTGTCCCTAACTCACATCTTTGCCTTACTGGGTATTGCTGCTGGCTTGGGGAGAGAACTCAGGCAAGTGCATATGGCAAAATCATGGCAAGCATTCAGCTGGGATTCATATGGGATTAAAGATGAGGGCCAAGGTCTTTAATGCATAATGACAGGTTTGGGAGAAAAGCACATAAATCCACACACAAACTGCATTTTGTCAGCACAAAGCAGCAGGTGAGCATATCAAAAGAAGTACTTGGGGTGTGATTCACTCTCTAGTGCTACAGAAGTACCTGGTTATGTTTTGTGGGTTTTAGAATGCAGCCTCCTGTTTATAAATGTTCTGGTTCCTCCTGCCATGGCCGGTGTCATAGGAGAGCAGTGACCAACTTTTCAAGAGCACCTTTTTACCTGAGTGTGGATCAGCCATTATCCAAGGCACAAAGCAACCTGCTAAAGGAAAGAGATCAACATTTATTATTTTCTCCTGATCTCTTTCAGTGTAACTTGTCCTAGCTGTTATTACCTACCTGAGGGTTATTGCAAGCAGATGCTGGGGTCAATTGACTCACTGTAACATAATTGGCTGAAACCAACTCCTTTTACATTTACTTCTTCAGATCTTTTCAGATTTTTCTTTTTCTGCAAAACAGCCAGGAGGGATTTTTTTACATGGCCATTGGCTCACATGTAGCAGAGTATTTACAACTATATTTCAAACAGGTTGTCTCTCTCAGGTAGCAAGAGATGGAAATAAATCTGCAATAGGAGCCATCATGCAGGTCTGTTTGAGGTAGCCTGAAATCCTTTTCTGTGTACAAAGAAATGCTGTATTACCCCTGGATGTACCACATACTTGGTAGGAAATGTGCTTCTTGACTGCAAGGCTCTTCTGCAATGATCTGACACCTGTTCCCACTAAAGATCTCACCCTCAGCCAGCACCAATCCCAGCCCAGAAGGAAGGGAAGTGGCAGCTCTGAAAGAGCAGCTCAGCCCCGCCTCTGTGGGTCCACTCTTCCCATAGCTTTAGGTAGAGCTGGGCAGCACAGGGGAGAACTATGAGTTGTGAGGTGAACTATGAGTTGTGAGGTGAGTCAGCCTAGAAATGGTTTCTTGGTTTTGGGGATGGAAAATCAAATAGTAGAGGAAAAATCCCTATTTTTGTCTAATGGTGTGCCTGTGTAGGTGTTGCACATCATGGTGGCAGCTAACAGAATGGTGGGATTGTGAGAGCTCCTTTATTCCACCTGGGAGATGAAGAGACAAGGCAGAATGAGGCTGTTGGTCATGTAATTCCCCAGGATAACTGGAGGCATCCCCATGAGCTATGCTTCCCTGGCAGCCCAGGAACCCTGGGCAGGCAGGTCCTTACAGAAAGGACAGCGCCCACAGGGACACACAGGGACGCTCCCACTGCAGCCTGCCAGCCTGTGGGGAGGAAGGAATGGAGCCCCAGAGGTGCCCTAGGTAGTGCCCATGGGTCTAGTTGGCTGCTCCCACCCTGGCTTCCCAAGTGCATTTCAGAACTATGGAGCTCAGATAGGTATTTACATGCTTGGAAGGATGCTTGGCTTGAGGGTCACTGGTGAAAAAGGAGCTTTAGAATAATGGGAACCAGGCCTGCAGTTTTCAGTCGCCTCTTTGGCTCTTAGAGGACATCTCAGAGGAGATGATGGCACCTCAATGTCCCTTTGGCAAGGCTTTTTCAAAAGGTGGTGGCACATGAAGTCTCTGCACCTGCTAATTTCCAGCTGTCACTTGCTGTAGTCTCACTCCTGTGGATCTTGGACCCCTGCTGCTGATAAAACAGCTCATCTGTGGTTATGTAAAAATCTTGGATTTGGATCAGGTTGTTTTTCTAGGTAGGGTGGCTGGCTCTAGTGCTTGTGCTCCATCAAGCAGGGAGCTGCAGTTGTCCCACAGAGTAGCCTCAGTGAAGCACCACTTTGTGTGCATGATTCCCTCTTTTTTATTTTCTGCCTGTTGCTAACCATTAGTTATAAAGGTAGAAAAGGTCACTGTTATAAATGGGCCTTTCAGACTGGGAACAAATAGAGAAATAAAGCTATGTGGTTAGAAGCACCACTCTAAAATGTCCAAAAATCATGTCTCCATGTTAGTTCAATATTATTGTAGCACAATTTTGGGTGGAATCGTGGTTTGTTCCAATGGTAGGCTCCTTGCTCTTGAGGAGATAACAGGCAGGTGAGGCTGAGGTTGGTGGTGCTGCAGTGATGGCTGGGATCTGCCTGTAGTTTTGGACAATGTAGGGCACTTTTTAGGGAGCTTTGTGGTTGTTCAGGTCTGAGTGACGGTGGTGGGACTCAGTGGGGCTTGAACTGTAGCCAGTGTCATCTAACTAGAGCCAGAGGGACACCTTCTGCCCAGGGTGTCCTCCAGCTGGGGTCTGTGGCAGCAATACAGAAAAAGGTGTGAGGGGGAACATCCCAATAGGAAACTAGAGGAGTCAAAGCTGGGTAATTTTTTCCCCTTTTTTTAAATTTAATTTTAGAAGTGAGCTTTGTGTACCTTGGCAGAGAGAGGTTTCAAGGGGAGTTTTGTAGGCATTAGGCAGAGCGAGTAGTTCTATCCCAGTTCTTCTCCCCTCACCAACAAAAAAGCCATGAAATCCCCTCCAGCAGTGTTGTGGATGAGCCCTTCACCTGCTGTGGAGGTGCATCCTGGCCAGCACCTCAGGCTGCTGGCTCAGGTATGACCAGGGCCACAGGTACAGCACCATTTGCCAGCAGTTTGGTCCCCAGCCCAACCTTTGAGCTCTCCTAGGGGGAAACACTGCATTGTCCATAGCACTCTGAAGACTAAACCCTTTTGGGATAACCACAGTAGGGAACTGTGACTGGTATTTTCTAAGTGTAGATATGTATGCTGTTCTTTCGAGGTAAGGTACTCTGACATATGTAGCATAAACTGGTCCTGCTGTTAAATGGGTCGATTATTAACTGAGCAGCTGTGTAGGGGGTAGCTAACTTTGAATGCATGAAATCACTGGGTTTGGGATGGGAGGTAGGTACTGGCTGCTTGTGGGGGTACTTATGGTGGGGTAATGCAAGAGGGAAATGCAGGTGAAAGAGAAAACTGGGAATTTTTTATAGCATTTTAAAGATGGACATCGGTACCCATTCGATACATTATTCACAATGGTTTTAATCCCTTCTTTTGCTCAGTTTTTGCTGCTTCCCCAATATTGTAAGCTGGAATTGCTAAATAGGTATCAGGGAAGGGAAACTGAGGGGAAAAGAAGTCTCTTTCTAAGAACAGAGATAGCCAAATTTCATTTCCTGACCTGGTGGTCTTGAACCATGACTTTTCAGATGAGGCTCCAATTCAGGCCCGGGGTATGACATTGGTGTCCCCTTGGAATCAAAGGCTCCCACCTGGCAGGGGACACTGGGGTAGCGCTGGGCTCCTGGTGCCAGCATGGCCCAGCCCAGAGGAACCAGCAGCACACACAGGTGGGGTGGTCTGGGTTCCTGTCAATCCTCCACGTTCTGAAAGAGCCACAACATCAAACAACAATACTTCTGCCTTATGAAGTACCTTCAGAAGAAGAGAAGTGTCAGCAAGTTGGGGAAGACACTCATTTCTTGCAAAGTGATGCATTCAGAGTTAGCTGCCTTTCTGAAACAAAAATAAAAAGAAATTCAATACCTACTGTATGTTACTTTGAAAATGTGAATAGTATTTTTATAGCTTGTTAAAGACACAGCTAGTTGCATTTGTAAATAAGGATAATGTTGCTTTTATTTTCCTTGTGGACTCCATTGTTTGGAACATAATTGTCCTTAGGGTTGATTTGTATATAGGTAATTTGCTTGTGATTTAAGCCGCTCCTCCCCTTTCCTTTCTCTCCCTCCTTCCCCACCCTCTGGTTTTGGTTAGAGGTACCATTTTCAGCATTCTGTGTGATTCTGTGTTTTAGCACTGTTGTGGTGTGTTCAGACTTTCTGCACTTGCTTACACAGTAGGGTATGCCAATCGTGTGTGGCGTAATGTTCCTTTAACCTTTCCTTTCTCATATTTTAGCTGTTGGGAATTATACACTGTTAAAATACTTACTGACCTGGGTTAATATTAGGTACATATTTTAGCATAATTTCCCTTCTTTTCATGGTTTCTCGGGTTTTTTCTTTTTGTTTATTTTTCCTTTCCCTTCCCTTTTGTCTTGTTTGGAAGCTGGGAAGAAACCTGTGGATCTTCTCTTTGTGTGGTTCTATTCCCCACTCCCGTGTGCAGCCCAGAGTTTCTCCTCATGGTCCTTGGGGTAGAGCTTTATCTGTTTGTTAAGGCAAATGTAGACTGCGACCCACCTTGCATCAACCCACGCTCATCCCAGCTGAACAATTTGAAAACTGTTCTGCCTTTTTGTTACATGAATCTGTCAGAAATATATTTTTAATTTAATATAAATGAAATTCAATAAAATATGAAACAAAGTCTCTGTGCACAAGTGAAATCTCTTGGAAAGGGGCTTGTATGCTGCCAGTGCCACAGAGTCCATGGAAAACCCTGGCACGGCCCTGACCTGGACCCTACACAACCTACCCCAGAAATCCCAGGGTTGTGCAATTCTGAGCTTTTCATTGCCTTTAAAACAAACCACAGCCCATGAAGGTGTTGGTGCCTGTGCCCTGTGCCCCAACTCACCCACTGGGTGTCCAGTTACAGTTCATTCACCCACAGCTGCCCTGGCTCTGCTGGGGTGATTGCCCATCGTCTTTGCTGGAGGGGGTAGAGGGTGGTGTGGATAATGATGCCTGTGTGCATTTAGACACAGAATTCAGTGCATACATAAAATCTAACCCCAAGCACCACATACCCATCATGCCAACAGGCACCCTCTGGGCATCACACCACACCTACCTCCCTTCATCTCACACCCAGCACCACAGCTTGGCCAGGGCAAGCTGCACCTTTAAATTGAGCTGGAAAACACCTTGGAGATGCTTGTCATGGTCTCAGAGTGAATTAAAATATTCCCTTCTCAGGAGGTGCCAGGTGCCATCAATGCAATGCCCACTCTGTGGCTCATTTCAAACCCACAATTCACACACAGACCTGTGAGATTTAACTGAGGCCAGCAATTTAACTGAATCCCTGCCAGTGCCACAGGTTAATTCCCATGGGGTCTGACACACTGCTGGTCCCAGTGCCCCCAGTCTGCCTTCCTGGCTGCTGAACATTGTCCCCATTGCCAGGCCTCAGAAAGGCATTTTAAATTTACCTAGAAACCCATAAAGGTCATGTGGCTCTTTGAGGCACATTTTAAAACACTCCAGTCTCCCTGGATTGCAACTCTTTGTTTCACAAATGGCCTCAACATTTTCTCCCCAGCAGCCTGGAAAGGTCATTGCAGACACACACACAATTCTCAGAGCTGGAATCCTGGAGCATTCCCCACACAATGCTCAGAGCTGGAATCCTGGAGCATTCCCTGCTGCCTCCAGGGACAGGAACACAAGCTGCACCACCACCACTCACTCAGAGCTGGTTAGGGTGATGGAATTAAGCATTCCCTCCTCAGAGCTGTCAGGAATATAAAGCCTGTTTTCCCTAGGAGGGGAAGGGGAAGTGAAAGAGCCCTGCTTCAAGTCCATGTCCAGCCACACACCACCAAGCTGGAGCCCACCCAGGGACTCACACACACACACACACACACACACACTGGTGGAGCCCCATGTGCTGGAAAGTGCCTGGTGCAAATATTTGGCATCACTGAGATCTTCACAATAAAACAGGGCATAACAGAACTCCAGAAATGCTTCAGAAATGAGAAATACAAGTTTTAACACACACCCCTTTTTCCCCAAATGGGTTTTACTCAACTGGCCAAAATATGAAGGAAAGAGTAAATCAATCACCTATTTTCTAGTGAAATACATTAATTTAAAGCCCTCTGCTACTCAGTCAGAGTAGCTTGGCAAAGGCCATGGGGTTCAGGTGTTTAAAGTGGCACTGCAAAGCACAGTCCAGCTTTTGCAAGCAGTTTCATGCTGTGTTACTAGAGGTGAAGTTGTTTTCTTGTACCCTC